AATTTGTATAATGATTTAAATTAAATTCAGTTATATAGATTTTTAAAAATAACTCGCTTAATAATATTGTCCCTCTTTCACTGTAATCCAGTAAACTATCAAATATTTAGACATTTATTTAATAGTAACCTGACCGTCATTCCTTTGACCTCTTCAGAAAGGTGTTCCTAGTCCAGATCTGCACTAAAGAAACTGAAGATAAGTGCGTGAACCGTCTCTCCTTGTGTCTTAGAGAGGTGTGTGATCAAACCTGATATTATATCTAATAAACATTTATTTTCATTTAGTTGTGTGTTTTTTAATAAAGCCACTTCCTCTTCCTCCTTGTGTCCAGGGTGAGAGTTTGACTGCAGGTTTCATGCAGGCTCTTCTGGGCCTGATTCTGCCAGTGGCGTATGAGTTTAACCCGGCTCTGGTGCTCGGGATTGTAGGAGAAACTGCAGCAAAGACTGGGCTTATGACAGTCTGGGGTCACATGACCTGCCTAATCCAAGGCCTGGCCAGAGGACGGACACTCACACTACTGCAGGTCACCATCAGGGTTTATTAATGTTTTTGTTGTTGTTATTATCATTGTTTATTTTATATATTTTTTTCTATTATTATATATTTTTAATAATAAATATTATTATTTTAAAGTAGCCACAAAACATTTATTTATTTATCCCTTAAATAAATATTCATATTTTAAATGCATTAATAATATTTTAAGATTAACTGATTATTAATTAATTCATTTATTTTCTTTTCGGCTTAGTCCCTTAATAATCAGGGGTCACCAAACTGATTATTTTAAAACATTATTAATTTATTTATTTATTTATTTTTTTGTTATAAATTTGTTTACCTTTATATTGATTTGTTTAAAATTGTATTATTTATTTATTTATTCATTTATTTATTTATCCCTTCATTAATATTTTAAATGCATTAATTTTTGTTAATGAACTAATTTAACAACGTACAATACATTTGAGCTTTTGTTCATTTGTCATCAATTAGTTTATCTTTATATTAATTTGTTTAAAATGGATCTGTTTTTCTGCTTTACTTTAAAGGTTCACGAAACCCTGGAGTACTTTTTTTTTTTAGATGTTAACAGATTTGTGTGTGTTGAGCATCAGTTAGTACAATGTTAGCACCTATCAGCTTTAATTGTGGGAAAACTGGATAATTTTGAGCCTTTATCAGCTAATTTCAGCCTCCGGGTTTAAATTGATTTTTGAGGCGGGATCAAAATCAGTGACGTAGCGCAAAACTGCAAGTGCAAAGATGACGCATCGGTTTCTCATTATTATTCATAGCGGAGTTTTCTTATCCTATGAGAAGAGCCGGCTTCTTAATTATTCATGACTGCGCGAGCTTTCCGAAGGCAAGGTAGACCTGCCAGTGCCAAGCTGTGAGACACGTTGATGACTGGGTGATAAAGTTTCCACAGACCCACGGCACACAGTATTTGGCTGATCATGAAGAGTAGTATGTGTTCGTTTCCATGATCCACGGGGTTTGTTGCATGTTTTTCCCCGCGATGCTGTCAGGGCCGATACAGCAAAGCTGTGTTTGTGCTGCAAGCATTTTTGTCAGGACAGCAGTACGAGAATTGGAGAAGGGCGGACGTTGTCTTTCATCAGGAGTTCGTTCGCATTTAGACACATCGTCGTGCTGCTGTGTCTAATGTTATCTGTGGCTAATGGTTAAAATAGACAGGGCAAGAGAGCTGCTGCACTGAGTCTGTATTCAGACCCGGGAATTGAGGAAAAAGTCCTAATTTAGTGTTTATATGAACACGATTTTCTTTTTAATGACATAAATTGTGGTTGTGTGTATATGAAATTACAAACAACAAATGTAGCAGGGCATTCAATTACTGTTTATTTCTTTGCATTTCAACTTTGTAAACTATAAAATCATGGGTGTGCTCCCGGTTTGTCTAATTTTGTGAGCCGACTGACAACAGTCAGTTTGCTCAGTTGTTCAACAGTTGTTCGCTCCCCTACTCCTCCCGTGCTGACCACACCCGCTACACACCCATTATCATGCATCTTTTGAAAAAATTCTGAGGTAGACCTGAACCGAAAGTGGGGGGTGTCATGACCCTTTTAATATGGAGAATATTCCTTCTATCAGTTGCCGTGGCTTTTATTTAGAACACGGTTTAAATCACCCGCTCCTGCCCTCAATCTGGCAACCTGCCCTTGCGTTTGTTTTGATTCAGGATTGCAATACCTAGTTCAACCACTGGGTGTCAAACTTACATACGGCACCTTTAAAGTAAAGCAGAAAAACAGATCCATTTTAAACAAATTAATATAAGAATAAACTAATTTATTACAAATGAACAAAAACTCAAACGTATTATACGCTGTTAAATTAGTTCATTGAAATAAATGAATGGATTTAAAATATTAATGAAGGGATAAATAAATAAATCATACCATTTTAAACAAATCAATATAAAGATAAACTACTTTATAACAAATATAGAAAATAACTTGACTTAATAATGTTTAAAAGTAATCAGTTTGGTGACCCCTGATTAATAAAGGGACTAAGCCGAAAAGAAAATAAAGGAATGAATGAATAATTAATATTTTCTGAATGTCCATACATTCATTTTAAACCCTGTTTCAAATTTTTTTTCTTTTTTTAATTATTATTTTTAGATTTGGTTCTTTTACTTTTTATGTAATTATTTTTATTTTACATTTACTTATTTAAATGTTATTCATTTGTATTTTATTAATGTCTTTTAATTGTTTAATTTAATTGATTGCATTTTATTTTTTTCAATTCAATTCAGCTTTATTTGTATAGCGCTTTTACAATGTAGATTGTTGTAAAGCAGCTTCACATGAAAGATCCTAATAATTTGAAACAGTGTAGTTCAGTTTTCAGTGTTTAAGTTCAGTTTAGCTCAGTTCAGTGTGGTTTAATAATCACTACTCCGAGTCTAAACACTGAAGAGCAAGTCCATCGATGCACAGCTTTACAGATCCCGAACCATGCAAGCCAGTGGCAACAGTGGCGAGGAATAAACTTCACCAACTGGCGAAAGTGAAGAATTAAAAAACCCCCGAGCAAAACCAGGCTAAGTTGCGCATGACCATTTCACCGCTGGCCAAGCGTCTTGTGCAGAGCTGCAATCAAGGTGCCGGAGGCTGGAAGCTGGACCTCAGCGAAGACTCATCTATCCCTGGAGCGTCACAGGAAATCAGTCTCATGCTCTCCACTCCTTCATGACCACCACAGCAGCTGCTCAGGATACGGCCTGGTCCAGGATATGGAAACCTTGGGATCATCTCGTCGCTGGTCTTAGATCGAGTCAGTGGCGCTGCGTAGTCTGAGGGCCTCAGGATGAGTATCCCCAGGTGGAAATAGAGAATAAAGAGAATAATTAGCTTAGCTGCTGTTCATAGTGTATATAAACGAGACACAGAAACCTGCGTGGAGCACATTCATGTATCACACCGCTAAGTGATGCACTGAGTGTGTGCTTTACTAAACAGATAAGTCTTTAACCTAGTTTTGAATCAGAAGAGTGTGTCTGAGCCTCGGACATTATCAGGAAGGCTATTCCAGAGTGTAGGAGCCATAAATGAGAAGGCTCGACCTCCTTTACCTGACTTTGCTATTCTAGGTACTACAAGGAGCCCTGAGTTTTGAGATCTTAAAGAGTGAGTTGGATTGTAGTTAGACAGAAAGTTGGTTAGATAAACAGGAGCTAGATTATTTAAAGCTTTATAGTTAAGAAGCAATATTTTAAATTCAATACGAAACTTAAAAGGCAGCCAGTGTAGGGAGGATAAAATTGGGACTGTGATCCTCTTTATGAGAGTTTTGCCCAGTATTACACACTCGTATAAAATGCTGTTATTAAACCACAACATCTGCCTGTATTCAGGGCTATGATAAAGATCTGCTGGAGCTCACAGTCTCTGCTCTCTCTGGGGCCTCTATCAGTCCCCTCGGACCCCTGAGGGCCCTAAAACCTGAGGATGTTGAGATGATGGAGAAGCAGAGACAGAGGCTGCAGGAACGCTGGGGTTTACTGCGCTGCACAGGTCAGAGATAACAATATATGGGGCACTTTTAGGAAAAATGCATCAGATATGTTGACATGTGCTGAAATACAGAATGAATGGCTTAGTTTACTGCTGCATGATTAATACCTGCATGTGTTTGTGCAGTTTCAGAAAGCTGATGAAGCCGAGGGTCACATTCACTGAGCTGTTCTGGAAAAGCAGCAGTTTTTTGTAATTTTGTACGACATTAAAGATGAATCAATACATTTTTAATCATTCATGAGATGTGTGTGTTTGTTTGTCTGTGTGTGTGCGCGCGCGTGTGCGTATATGTGTATCTGTGTATGTATGTATGTATTTATGTATGTACGTACGTACGCACGTGTGTGTGTATGTAAGTATGCATGCGTGTGTGTGTGTGTGTGTGTGTATGTATATGCATGTATTGTATGTTTGGATGCATGCATGTGTGTGTATGTATTCACGTATATGTATGTGTGTGTCTGAATGCATCTGTGTGTGTGTGTGTGTGTGTGTGTGTGTGTGTGTGTGTGTTTGAGAATGTAAATGCGCGCATGTATGTATGTGTGTATGAATGTATGTATGTGCGTGTATATATTCATGCATGTATGTATGTGTGTGTGTGTATGTATGCAGATATGTATTCATGTGTCTGTGTATGCATGTATACATGTGTGTGCATGTATTTGTGGGTGTGTGTGTATGATTCTATGTATGTGTGTGTGTATGTATTTATGTGGGTGTGGAGTGTAAGTTGGCCTCCAAAATCTCCATTTGAGCATATAAACAAATGATAAATGTTTTATGTTTCAAATTATGAATGGAAAATCCCTTCCCGAATATGAATGAATAAAGGAAATGATGCAAACTGGTTTATTATGCTCCGCTTTAGACGACAGCTCTAGCTGGACGGGTGTTTTTGGTTTCTTCCACATCTGATAGCAAGGGTGTGTCTGAAATGGCCAGAGATGACGTCTGCTGCTGCACTTCTGCAGATGTGACTATGACTGGCTCTCCACATATATCTGGACTGACATTTTCAGCATACTTCCTTTTTCGTTTACTGCTACACAACATTAAATCTCTGTTGATCCTAGAAAGCGGTGAGTAATCACAGTTACATTCTCCTAGTCGTTCTGAACCTTTGTTATTCATTAGTAGACACTGTCAAGAATTTTTTGTTTACAGGTTGTATAATAGGACACTCAAACCCACTTTTACTGGTGTATTACCATTTCTCATGGGGTGTACAAGTATTGTCCACAAGATGGCGCTAAATGTCCTCAAATTACAATTGAACGTCATTCTATTTTTTATTACCATGAAAGGTAAACATTAGCTGTGAATGATTGGAGCACTTTTTAAATGTTGTTGATCGATATTAATTTTAAAATGTAACACAAGTTTTATACGTTTTTTTATTTATGTTTTCTCAACGACGAGACACCGTTTATTAATTAACATCATAAAGTATCCCGTAGTGTAGACATATTCAAATTAGCTCAAAGGCTAGTTTTTATGCTAGTCGTTTTCGATGCTATAGGTCTAAAAACCTACATAAATACAACCCCATGGTATAAACAAAAAAAAGTACATCATGAATTCACATCGTTCAAACTTTTGTTATTGTCTGATGAAAGTTGCGACTCCTACATGGGAAAGTAGCATAAACCATGCTAGTGTTTTTATCATTATTATTTATTTAAAAATAAAAAATATATATTTTGTAATAACTATAACTCAACGAAGGCTACATCTTTCTGAAGTAAGCTATATATATATATATATATATATATATATATATATATATATATATATATATATATATATAGGCTAAACAAACAAGAAAAGTAAACAAGAAAGCATTAAAATGTAAACATAAATGAATAAATATATAAATTAAAATGCAGACACTGGGCAGTGAAGCTCTGGACTGGAGAATACAGCAGACCGGGGAGCGCAGCTGAAGACCAGGCGTAGTTGTTGGTACAGAGAAAGCAAAAACAAATCCAACAGAGAATCCAGTTTCAGAGATCCACAGCAGACACAAGTCAAAATAGGCAGTGAACAAGATATATATAGAGAGAGAGAGAGAGAGAGTTTCACCGACAAAAAAATCGAAGCTGTGCTGTTATTAAACGGTGAAATGCCACGGTACTGTTTTTTTAAAGGCTTTTTCCCGCAAAACGTCTTTAATCTATCAAATTTACTGAAATGTGTTTTGTCACCTAAAAATGTAACGCTTTTGAGCAGTAGTTTGAACATCCTGCTTTTATTCCTCTCATTGCGGTTTTCATCTCTGCCACACATTTAATTTCTTATTAGTCTATTGTAAGTATATAAATTATCTTTAACTTTAGATAAATAAATAAGGTATTTTCAATTTTATTTATTTATTTTACTATAAAAAAGTTAAAAAGCCTTTTAGTAAACTGATGATTACTCAGCGCTGAGAAGAGCAACGTGCATCACGTGACATCTCCGCCTATTTTCATCATCAACCGACGCAGTATATCCGACATTAAAAATGATACTACATGAATTTAATAAGTGTTCGTTTGCAAATACGCAGTAATTAATCAAAAAGGTAAAATTAGTATTTTCCCCGTCACATCTGACCAACCAAAGAACACTTTCGGACCACATCGCCCCGCCCCCTAAAGACAATGCTAATTTCTATTCTTCACACATGTTTCTGTTTCTGGGACTGAAGCCGCGGCGGGGCAGAGATGGCCACAAACGCGACGAGATCCACCGGACAGCCGGCCAAGACAAAGAAGGATGAGTCGCTGCTGGGGAAGCTGGGAGGGACATTAGTTCGCAAGAAGAAGATAAAAGAAGGTGATGTTTTAGAGCATATCCAAGCTTTCTGCCTTAAGAAATGAGAAAACCTTGTAATTAGAAAAGCACGTGACGTCATGCTTTGATTTTTATCGCTGTCCATGGTGCTGCACTTGATCAATAACCATATCATAAAGCTTTGAGATGTTTAGTCATTTATTTATCTAAATATGTATGCAAGTAATATTTATTATAAATAAGACGTACATTACTATTATAATAATTGTGTAATTCTAATTTTAGAAGTACTGTCTGATGTACTGTTGCCATATCAGTGTTATTTATGTCAGTTATGCTAGTTATGTTGTTGTTGTTGTAGTCTGGGATAGAAATAGGCAGGTCAGGAGCTCAAGGTTATTCAGATAATAATGAAGTGCCATGCATTGTGTTTCTTTATTTTTAGTTATATATTTCTTTCTCATTTAAACCCAAGTTAAAAGTCTTCATATATGCTTTTTAGATTTGCTATTTTGAGTTTTAGATCATCAAACGTACCCCTCCATCCTCCATTTGTGTGAACAGCTGCATAGTTTAAGTGTGTGTGTGTGTGTGTGGGTGTGTGTGTGTGTTTGTCCCCCCTGTCTTTGTCTTTCATTGAGGAACAGAGATGTGAGGCTGTTTTGAGGTTGATTTTATACTGTTGTAACCTTCAGACAGTCACACACTAGTGCTACAGTGTGCTAAAGGCTTTTTACAGTCTCTTTGTTTAGGAAAATGACCATTTGAGGGTTCTTAAAGAGTCTTTAAACCTGTGTTTACCTGAACAGAAAGCGATGTCCTCTTAATATTGCCTCCCAAATGAAGCGCAATGCACACTATGTAGCTGACTTACAATATATATTATGATAATATATTGTTGTCTCATTGTAAATTACTATATTTGGTGGAAATTATTGGTCTAATCCAGGGGTCACCAATCTCGGTCCTGGAGGGCCGGTGTCCCTTCAGGTTTTAGCTCCAACTTGCCTCAACACACCTGCCTGGATGTTTCAAGTATACCAAGTGAGATCTTGATTAGCTTGTTCAGGTGTGTTTGATTAGGGTTGGAGCTAAAACCTGCCGGACAACGGACCTTCATTAACAAGTTTGGCATAGGCAACTGGGCTCTTCTGGGTGGTTTTTAGGGTGTTGCTAGGGTCTTGCTGTCGACGTTGACGTTCCACATGATTGGTTGGGATTTCTTAGTGTGTTCTTATTAACTTTTAGTATGTTTTAAAGGTGTTTAAGGAGGGTTTTTATGGTGTTGCCATGTTGTTTTTGTTGGTTGCTAAGGGTGTTTTCTCTGATTTTAGGGTGTTGCTAGGTAGTTTTTGTTGGTTGCTGGGGTGTTTTCACAGATTTTAGGGTGTTGATAGGACGTTTTTTTGTCTCATTGCTATAGTTTTTGTTTTAATGGTTGTCAAGTGTGTTGCTACAGAAATTTGGATAGTTGTTAGGTTGTTTTTGCTTATTTCCAGCGTGTTGCTAAGGGTGTTTTGGTGGGTAGTTACTATATTGCTCATTGTAAAGGTGTTTTGGGTTGTTTGTCAGGGTGTTGCTGAGGAATTATTTCTGATTTTATGTTGCTAAGAAGTTTTTAAGTTGTTAAGGGTGGTTTTTAGGGTGTTGTTAAGTTGTTTTAACTGGTTGCTAGGGTGTTTTCACTGATTTTAGGGTGTTGCTAGGATGTTTTTTGTCTCGTTGCTTTAGTTTTTGTTTGACAGGTTGTCAAGTGTGTTGCTTCAGTAATTTGGACAGTTGTTAGGTTGTTTTTGATTGTTGCTAGGGTGTAATGGCTGGTAGTTACTGCATTGCTGGTTGTAAAGGTGTTCTGGGTTGTTGTCAAGGTGTTGCTAGGGTATTCTTGCTGATTTTATGTCGCTAAGATGTGTTTAAGCTGTTAAGGGTGGTTTTTAGAGTGTTGTTAAGTTGTTCTGACTGATTGCTAGGGTGTTTTCACAGATTTTAGGGTGTTGCTAGGATTGTTGTCTCACTGCTATAGTTTTTGTTTGAATGGTTGTCAAGTGTGTTGCTACAGTAATTTGGATAGTTGTTAAGTCGTTTATGCTTATTTCTAGGGGGTTACTAGAGTGTTATGGCTGGTAGTGACTGTATTGCCAAATGTAAAGGTGTTCTGGGTTGTTTGTCAAGGTGTTGCTAGGGAATTCTTGCTGTTTTTTATGTTGCTAAGATGTTCTGGTTGGATTTACATTGTTGTTAGGCTGTTCTGATGAATTCCTATCGTGTTATTGTGGGTTCCGAACTTCCGACCAATGTGATATGGTGGTCTGCGTTGTCAGTGTTGCTAGGCTGATTGTTAGGATATTGTTGTGATGTTTTTGGAATATTTTACATTTTTCAGGTTGTTGCTAATGTGTTCTAAGGGATTACTAACGTGTTCTGCATGGTTGTTAGGATGTTGCTAGGGTGTTATGACAGGTTTTATACTGTTGCAGAGATGATTTGAATAGTTGTAGTGAGGATGTTCTGGCTGGTAGTTAGGGTGTTGCTATTGTGTTATGACAGGTTGTAGGGTCTTGCTGAGATGATTTTAATAGTTGTGACGGTGTTCTGGACAGTTGTTAGGGTGTTGCTAGGGTGTTATGACAGGTTGTATGGTCTTGCTGAAATGTTTTTAGTAGTTATGACTGTGTTCTAAACAGTTGTTACTGTTTCTATGGTGTTATGACAGGTCGTAGGGTCTTGCTGAGATGTTTTGAATAGTTGTGAGTGTGACTGTGTTCTGGACAGTTGTTAGGGTGTTGCTAGGGTGTTATGACAAGTTGTATGGAGTTGCTGAGAATTTTTTAATAGTTGTGAGGGTGTTCTGGGCGGTAGTTAGGGTGTTGCTATGGTGTTATGACAGGTTTTATAGTGTTGCTGCGATGTTTTGAATAGTTGTGAGGGTGTTCTGGCTAGTTGTTTGGGTGTTGCTAGGGTGTAATGGTATGTTGCATGATGTTGCTGAATTGTTTAGTTTGATTTCTGTGGTCTTTTGCAATAGTTGTTAGGGTGTTGCTAGGGTTTTAGGTTGTAAGGTCTTTGCTAAATGTTTTGACTAATTTCTATGGTGTTTCGGATAGGTGTGAGTGTTGCTAGAGCTGTTATTAATGTATTTGAAGGGTTGTTGCTAGGGTGTTTTGGCTGGTTGCTAGGATGTGCCTCTGGCTGGACACCATGTAATTACAACAAGGTTTTCAAGTTCTAGGGTTCTTACTCATGATGCAAGTCTGTGGAAAGTCTGCCTGTATGCTGGTCAAGACTCTTATAGCCCAGTGAAGCAGTACTGCATCTATAGTGCCACCAAGTGGACATTTGCTAGAAATAGGGGATTTTTGCATTTTGCATTGATTGACAGCAGCTCCGACACAGCAGATCCACACATTTCCCTTTCTGCTCTGCTGAAGCTGATATCAGAAAACGTTGTGTCGTGTGTGTGTGTGTATGTGTGTCTCAGGATGTGGAGCTAAATATTACATATCATGGCAGTGACAGATACTGGAAGATCTAGCTGTTGTGCTATTATTTAAGAGTCCTCAGACGTATTCAAACCTTTGAAGATCATGGAGTCCAGTAAGTTTCACTCTCGTCTGCTGTGTTTGTCCATTGACCATCATTGATGTGTGTCTGTGTGGGTTTGAGTTGTGATGAAGTGTCTGAATGGAGGTCTTACTGTAAATAGCTTTCATCAGGAAGTTTAGTTTGTCATCATGGGTAGTTTTTTAGCTCTAAAAACACATTTCAGCTGCAGTACGTCAGTGTTGATAGACCTATTGTGATGATGGAATGGTGGTTTATGAACATAAATGTAATGGTCAAGGTATGAAGTATTTTTCCTTTTGTAATACTGTAGCTTGGCTCTGTATCCCCAGACTGAATGCTGATTAAATCTTATTTTGAGTGACTAATTAAAGGGGATAGTTGACTAAAAATTGTACATTTTTGCCATCGTCGCTTACTATTTTAGTTTCTGTTTTCTGTTGAACAATAATATATTTTGAAATGCTGGAAACTAATAGCCATTGACTTCAATAGTATTTGTTTTCAGTGGCTACTGAATTTGTATTTTATTTTTAGCTTTCTTCAAAATATATACACTACCTGATAAAAATCTAGTCGTCGATCCTTCTAGTTGATAATTTGGAAGAGTGGCAGAAGTCGATTTTTCCAATGAATCATCTGTTGAATACTGCATGAATATTGCAGAAGACCTACTGGAACCGCATGGACCCAAGATTCTCACTGAAATCAGTCAAGTTTGGTGAAGGAAAAATCATGGTTTGGCGTGACATTTGTGCTGGCCGTTACATTACAAACTACAGGAGAGGGTCAATTCTTCAGCAGGATAGCGCTCCTCCTCATACTTCAGCCTCCACATCAAAGTTCCTGAAAGCAAAGAAGGTCAAGGAGCTCCAGAATTGGCCAGCCCAGTCACCAGAAATGAACATTATTGAGCATGTCTGGGGTAAGATGGAGGAGGAGGCATTTAAGATTAATTAAAGAATCTTGATGAACTCTGGGAGTCCTGCAAGAACTCTTTTTTGTTGCCATTCCAGATGACTTTATTAATAAGTGATTTGAGTCATTGCAGAGATGTATGGATGCAGTCCTCCAAGCTCATGATGGAGTCAGACACAATATTCAGTCTGTCTCCACTGCAGCAGGACTTTATATTCTATACTGGACATTATTTCTTCTAAGAGACGAGACTTTTGTCTAAGCAAAGTCAGACCGTACTGTCCTAATAAAAGAATTATAAATCAAGACATGATCATATTTTATTTTGGTAAAATAAGCTTAATTTAGATGACTTGTTCCTAAAACTTGGATAGGTGGAAGACTTTTGTCAGGTAGTGTACATATTTTTCAACAGAATAAAGAAACTTGTTATGGGTGAATGATCTTAACTTGAATAATTCATACATTTTTCACTTTCATTAGATTTTGATAGGCTATATGGAATAATCAAAACAGATGCAATGTAAATTATATTTTTTGTGATTTTGCTATTTCATTATTTC